GCCAGTTGGTTCTTGAGGTCATTGACTTCTTCTTGAGTTGCCATTATAACTCTTGCTTTCCTCTTGCGGGCTATAGGTTTGTCGAAAAGTTGGACTTGTACGAAGAGGTTATCTTTGATTAATCGTCCTTCCTTTCTTGACCACGCGCTATAAATTAAGCCAATTTGCGTTTTAATTACTTGACTCGAATCAACTTGACTTTATGGTTTTTTTTTCTTTCTTTTTTTTTTAAAAAAAAGTACATATTTTTAGGGAACTAAGTATTATTATTTATTGGAGGATTAATATCCGACTTACCCCCCTTAAAAAAATGACGAAAAAAAGCGCGCACACAAGACTCTCTTAATCATGGTCAAAAAACATGTGTGTTGGTGTGTGCATTGAGTGTAAGTGACATGCTTGGACTCTTGTGTAAGACCATGGGACTTGGTGCCTAAACTCGAACATTGATTCAATTAAGCATTATTGTCAGCAAAATTAACCGAATTAAACAGATTGCTGATTAATTAGACATTAGGTGATGACTCGACAAATAACTGTCGGCCAAGCGACAGGACTGGCGTCGCATTATGGTGATTGGCGCCAGGCAATTTAGTAAATGTCTGGCGCTACACACTATAATGTGGCGCTACAGCTCAGACTTCGGCGCCAATATTGGAGCTTCGGTCTGGGACTGTTTTCGGTATTATTAGTCAACTGGGGTATGCCTAAATTCGTACTAGGTCAATTCCGATTAAAAAAAAAAACTTTATTGACTCAAATTAATTAATTAATTAATTAATTAGGCAAAGTTATTTAAGTCATTAATTTTAGTCTCAACACAAATCAACAAACGGTTAAGAGAAACGTAGAATATATATGCACAACAAATAATGCACAATTAGTCAAGTAGGCACAATATGATGCAATGAGTTTGCAACCTAACCATGGCTCTAGTTCTCTAAAGTTCGGGATATGGTTTAGTCAATAGAGGGTCCATGGTTAATTGTCTAGATGCACCGCGCGGAAGCCTTACCATGAAGGGTTGGTGCGAGTGGATGGGACACCGCGAGTTTTAGAAGAAAAACTCACTTCCCCATGGTTTGATGAATTCAACATCTCGGATGTACCCTTTGTCGCCAGGAGCGTTCAATTGGGTAGATGGAGCATGAATTCCCAGAGGGTTATGTCCATATTTAGAACACATATGGGTTTCAGAAAAGTGAGAAAAAATTCAATCAGGAAGTAGGATCGAGCAAACAATACGAAAAACCGGTTGAAATTAGAACGCATATTTTTGGCTCGATATTGGGGGAAATTGGCGCCAGCAAATAGATACTGGCGCCAACTTTTAACTGTAGCGCCTGGCGCCAATACTGGCGTCTGGTGCTACGGCTAAAAGTGTGGCGCCAAGCTCTGGCCCCTGACGCTACTTCCCACATGCCTCAGCAGCTTTCTGTGCTCGATAAAATCTTCCAGTTTCGCGCGGTGTTATTTCAGTCCTAGTTGTGAAAGACATTTCTCAAATTTCCTACGTGTAAAATCCTATGTTTTTGACTCATTACGAATGGTATTTCCAATGAGAACCTTTTTATGCATATGACAATAATGTTAATCAAAATTACGCACATGAAAGACTTAGAACTTTTCGAGTCTCATCCACTCATTCTAAATCATTGCCGAAACAAATTCAGGAATTAAAATAGAAATCCTCCCCAGTAGAGTCGCCAAAACTGTAGGGAATAATTTCAAGCCTTAAAAATTCCACTAGCTCGAATCCCACTGTGATCATACACTAAAGTACGGTGGCGTCCAAAAGGGAAGAAGATAGAGCAAAATAGTCGCCAACAAGTTTTTAAGGAACTTGTAAACTGTTCATAGGATGAAGGTTACACCCCTTAACGATCCAAGAGATCGTCAACTCCATAAGGTCATGAACCAAATAAGGGTCCGGGGATGAAGGTACAAATCCAACCTAAAAGAGATTGAACCTGCCCTAATAATAGGCCTCTACTTTATTCTGATCGTTTCATGTGCGCTTTTTAATTAACATGCAATCAATAGGATTAACCCTAAACCTGTTTATCTATGTTGGTTGAATATAATGCACAAATAAACTATTATTGGCGATCACTTGAATTTATAATCATATTAACCCTAAACAAGATTATTAATTATCTTATTAAGCATGGTTACAAGTACCAATTCCCTTTAAACATGCATCAAAGGTGTGATCAAGCAATAAAGAATAAATAATCAAGCAACACAATCAATAATAATGAATAATAATCATCATCAAAATAATAATAAATTATAACAATTATAATCATAATCATATTCATGTTAATATTAAAGCATAATAAAAATAGCAAGATCCTAGGCATGATACTAACAAGATTAATAACAAACCCTAGCATGTCACTAAGCAATAAAAATCAAATCTTTAACCCTAACATGATATTAACAATCATAAATATTAGGAAGAGCATAGGAAGCATCATAGCAATCATATTTAATATTAAATATAACCTAGACATGATACTAGGAATCATAATAACAATATAAACATGATTTCTGCATCATAATATCAATTAATCAATTAAAGTACTTACTTTGATGCCTCATACCTCTTTCTAATAACAAAATACACACGTTAGTAACTTCAATGAAAATAATAATCAAAACAATTAAATTAAATAATTGAAAGAGAGATTTGGGACCAAACCCTCAGAAATTAAAACCTTTCACGTCTAAGGCGAAGGCAACTTCGAATATGGCTAGGTGTATCTAGATCTTGTGAATGCGGAATTTTGTATGAAAAAGCAAGAAAGAATTGAAAGCTAAAGAATATTAAAGAATGAGAGAATTGGTGAATGTAGATGATGAATGATGAAATCTGGTTATCAAAAACGGAGTTTTTAATACGATATTTATAGAGAAAATCAGCCAAAAAAGATAATTTAACAAAACAGAGTCTGAAGATCGCAAAACAGCATTGGTGCCAACCCTGGCTAGCTGGCGCCAGACACCAGTGGCTAGCGCAAGCGCCAATGGCTAGCAACTGGCGCCAAGCCTGGTTCTTTGCGCCAAGGCCTGGGGTTGGACGCCAGTCTTAATTCTAACGCGTTTTCGAAAATCCGATAAGTTTACCGTACTGGAGGATAAAATAATATAATTTCTTCGAAAATGCTATTTGATCTTGATTAAAACTCTGAAAAGTCAACAAAGTCAACTTATCAATGCTAATTGAATTAGGAATGAAAAGATCCTTCTAGAAGATTCTAGAAGACCAAAACCATTCCTAATTTCATTAGGAATGATAAATCACATTAGGTCCTCCCTTAGATCATTGGGCCGTACATAAAGCTCAAACCGGGTTCAGTTTAGTAAATTGGCCATAACTTCCTCAATATTCATCGGAATTGGGCTTATAATATATTGTTGGAAAGGTTTTTGCAAGCCCCATCCAACTACACCATTATTGGACCCATATCATGGACCAAACAAACTGGATTGGCTGTTTTATTAAAATAAAGTTTTCCAAAACAGGGAGAAGATAAAAGAAATAAAACTTTCCGCAACACTAGACCTTTCCACACTTTCGTTTCATTCGATTATGATTCGACGTGAAATGTACTGATCACCGGGTTTGGTTTTGGGGAGACACAAATGGGTGTCTACAATATGTATATAAAATTCAAGAAAAAATGGTGACACAGGTAATTTTCTCAATTTTAGGGTATACAATAAATTTTGAAATTTTTTTTCACATTTGTTTCGAAATTAGTTTTGTTTTTCTTTTTTTTTTCAAATTTGATGATTATATGTTTAATTATTTCTTAAACAAATATACCTTTATAATTTCTTCTGAATTTTTTTGTATAGATCTATGTAATTTGTGTTTTGAAACAAAAGGTTTGCATAATCTTATATTTATAATAAAAGATTTGCATAAATTTTTTCTTTTTCAGGGTCTAAAGATTTTATTTATTTATTTTCTATGTAAGATATTTTTAATTTCGCTACTTATATTTTATGTATACATAGTGTGGTTTTATTTTTTAAATTTTAGTTTTTTTCTCCAATTTGTGTACAAAATGCTTTTTTTAATGATTTTTTGTTTAGTTATTTTTCAAAGCAAAGTGTTTAGAATTTTTTATGGATCTTTTTCAAAAACCTGTGCAATTTTCAATTTTTTTTCAACATTTTCAAAGTTAGATTTGTAGTTTTTAATTAACTTTATTTTCGTTTTATGTTTCCAAATTTTCACCAGGTGAAAAAAAGAAGAATGGCACCGCCTTAAGGCCACCGGTTTTTAAAAAACCAATGGGGCAAAAAAGTGGGAGAAAACGAGGGAATGGAATTGCCACCGGTTCAAAGAGAACCGGTGGGTAAAATATTAATCTCACCGGTTCAAAACCGGTGGCTTTATTATTTTTTTAAAAAAAACTGCCCCATATATACCCTAATAAGCCCTAACCTTCACCACTCTCTCCTCAGCCTCTCTCCTTCTCTCTCTTCTCTGTTCGTCTCCTTTGATCTCAGCTCGTCTCCTGTTCTTCTCCTTCGATCTCATCTCCTTCTCTCTCTCTTGTTTTCTTTCTCTTTCTGTTTCGTTCTTCTCCGATTCTCGTCCCCTTCTCTTTTGTTTCCACCACCACGAAGACTACCACGAAGACCACCACGAAGACCACCATGAAGACCACCAAGAACACTACCGAAGACATCAACATACAACACCGACTTTAATCGAGGTGGGTTTAATTTTTCTGGGTTTGATTTTTGGTTTAATTAATCAATTTTTCTGGATACATGCATGTGTTTTTTGGGGTTTTTTTTATTTTTTTATTTTGAGTTTTCTGGTTTTTTTGGTTTATTTTTTCTGGGTTAACTAATCGTGTTTTAGGTTTAACTAATCGAGTATTGGGTTTAATTGGATTTTAATTGGATTTTTCTGGGTTTAATTGATCGATTTAAATCGATTTTGGGATTTCAATTCGATTTTTTTGGGTTTCATTAATCGATTTTTCGGATTTTATTTTGATTTTCTGGGTTACTTTTCAGTTAAAATAATCGGTTTTTTTTTAAACCGCTCCCTCGAAAGACATGGTTTTCTCTCTAGAAAGTAGGGTTTATCTGCCGTTGCTTTCGACTTCGTTGCCTCGATTTCTGACTGATTTCCTACCATGGCTGATGACGATATTCTTGAACGATACGCGAATCTGAAATTGGATGATGAAGACGGGGGTGTGGTGGACCTGGGAGGTGTTGACATAATGCCTTCGAAGGAAAAATTTCATCTTCTCTTGATTGGAAGGTTAGTAACTGATCGACCTTATAATGTTGAAGCATTTAAGAATACTATGACAACAACTTGGTGTTTACGTAATAAATTAATAATTAGGGTTCTTGGTCCTAATCTCTATGCATTTCAATTTTTTCATTGGAGGGATAAGGAGAGGGTGCTTAATGGTAGGCCTTGGTGTTTTGATAATAAACTAATTGTTATGAAGGAGGTGGAGGGAGATGAGCAGCCTGATCAAGTCTCCCTTTACCATTCTCCGTTTTGGGTCCGAATTAAAAATCTCCCCTTCAATTGTAGAACTGACGATGATGTAAAAGAGATAGTAGCTAATTGGGGGGAGGTGATGGAAGTGGAAGAGGATATATTAGGTCTTGACCGTTTTCGCAGAGTTAAGTTGATGATCAATATAACCAAACCTTTGCGTCGCTTTCAGCGCATTCTTGATAAAGGTAGGAAGACAGTATGTGTGGAGTTTGCTTTCGAGAGGCTCCCGTTTTTCTGTTTTGCGTGCGGAGTGATAGGCCACTCAGAAAAAGATTGTGATATGGTGTCGGAAGATAGTAAAAAAGCAAAGTTGGGACGGGGAAGATGGCTACGAGCATCTCCTAGAAAGGGGAGGCTAAAAGATGTTGAGAAACTTGATGCTGTGATTTCTGCCCGCAAGCAATTATTCGTAACAAAGGATATGGAGAAAGTGGAGGTTGTTAGTGATGAGTCGGAGGAAGAGCTTAATATGGATAAGGGAACACTGCAATTAGGGAATACTTCTATTAATTCTAGTGACTTGAATTTGATAGTGGAGGGTAATGATGCTGGGGAAAATATAGGGGAGGTGGATACGGGGGATATGAGTGGAGGGGGCAGTGGTGAGGTGAGTAAATTGAGTGGTACTATTGGTGAATGCAAAAAGGGGAATAAAAAATGGAGGAAAAAGGTGAGACAGGGGGATAGTAATGATGTTCATATGAGTGGGGTGCAGTCTGATGCTCTAGGCAAGAGGGTAAGAGAGGTGGATAAGGTGGGTGAAGAGAAGGGGTTTAATTCTAATAGTGATGATATGACTGATGACGATATTTCTGGTTGGCGAGTGGCGGAGGCTGTTTTTAAGCAGCCCCGCCTAGCTCAATGAGCATTTTGAGTGTCAACTGCAGAGGGTTGGGAAATACCTCTGCAGTTGATAACCTCCGGAACTTAGTACGGAGGGAGGCCCCGTCTCTTATTTTCCTAATGGAGACGAAATTCAGTAGTGGGGAGATGATGAAGGTTCGGGCTAAATTTCCCGGGTACGATGGTTTGGCGGTTGATAGTTGTAGGAGGTCAGGGGGTGTTGCTTTATTTTGGTTGAAGGGGATCGAGGTGAATTTACAATCTATGTCTATTCATCACATGGATGTTCTTCTTAAGCTAGGCACGAGTAATGTGGTTTGGAGACTGACTAGGTTCTATGGATGGTCGGAGGTGCACAATCGTCACTTATCTTGGAGGCTTTTGGAGGATCTTGCTAGACAAAGTGATGAGGCTTGGGTGTGCATTGGGGATTTTAACGAAATTCTCTTTGAATCGGAGAAGAAGGGTGGGAGAGATAGAGCTTTATGGCAAATGGAGAATTTTAGAGAGGCAATTGATGTTTGTCATTTGTGTGATGTTCATGCGGAAGGTTATGAGTTTACTTATGACAATGGTCAAATTGATGAAGACAATGTCCAATGCCGGCTTGATAGAGCCTTAGTGACCCAAAGTTGGAAGGATCTTTTCCCGAAGGCCAAGCTTTATAATTTAGAGCGTGAATGGTCGGATCATGCGCCTCTCAGATTTGTGTTGGAAGATGGTGGTGGTGGTGTCATAAGTAAGGAAAAATTATTTAGATTTGAGCAAGTGTGGACGGAAAGTGAGACTTGTGAGAATGTTGTTGGGGATGCGTGGTTGATTGGGGGTGATAGTGTAGCGAAAAAATTAGAGGTGTGTGCTGAATACTTGAAGACTTGGAGTGAGAAGGAATTTGGGAAGGTGTTTAGGGAGATTCGAAAAAAAAGGAGGAAACTTAGTCGTCTAAATAGGGGTGGTAGAGCTGCGGCCCAGGTGTGTGAGAGACGCAAAATTGTGAAGGAAATTTCTGCTTTGCTTCATGTAGAGGTGTACTGGAGACAAAGGTCGAGAGTGTTATGGTTGGCTGCAGGAGACCGTAACTCAAGCTTCTTCCATAGGAAAGCTAATCAGCGTCGTCAAAAGAATGTAATTAATTCCCTTGTTACTGAAGATGGAGAGCGACGTGATGATACGGAAGGGGTTTGTGAGATTGCTGTTGATTATTTTTAAACTCTCTTTACTGCTTCCTCGACGGTTGATTATGGTGCGGCTTTGGCAGGAATTAATAATAGGGTCACTGATGATATGAACGAGCTTCTTTGTGCGGATTATAGGGCGGACGAGGTTCTTACGGCCTTGAAACAAATGCATCCTATTAAAGCCCCTGGTCCAGATGGTATGTGCCCATTATTTTTCCAAACCTATTGGCATATTGTTGGTCCGGCTGTCACTTCTCTTGTGCTAGGTGTCCTTAAGGGTGATGTTATCCCTAGGGAAATAAATAAAACATTCATTGTTTTAATTCCGAAAAAAGAAGCTTCGGATAAAATGTCTGATTTTCTCCTTATTAGCTTGTGTAATGTGGTGTATAAATTACTCACAAAGGTCTTGGCCAATCGTCTGAAATTATTTCTCTCTGACATTACTTCTTTGAATCAAAGTGCTTTTACTCCGGGGAGATTAATTACAGATAATATATTAGTGGCGTTTGAGGTGTTTCATCATATGAAGAACTCGCCGAGCTCTGGGAGTTCTTTAGCTCTGAAATTGGATATGGCCAAGGCGTATGACAGAGTAGAGTGGGGATTTTTGAGAGCAGTGATGTTAAAAATGGGTTTTGCGGATGTTTGAGTAAATCGTGTAATGCATTGTATTTCTACAGTGTCATTCTCTGTTCTTATAAATGGGGCACCTTCGGGGGAGTTTACTCCATCTAGGGGTTTGCGACAAGGTGACCCTCTATCCCCCTATTTGTTTATTCTGTGTGCTGAGGCATTGTCTGGATTGTTAAATAATGCTGTGAATGATGGGAGTTTGCATGGTATTAGTGTTGCTAAGAATGCTCCAAAAATCTCACATTTACTTTTTGCGGATGATAGTATTATTTTTACGAAGGCGAATGTGGAAGAGGTTAATAAAATCCGGGAAATTCTGCAATGTTATGAGGAAGCGTCGGGTCAAATGGTGAATCTTAATAAAACGACGATGTCATTTAGTAAGGGTGTTCCGGATAATAAGAGGAGAGAATTGGCGGACCTAATGAATGTCCAGATGGTGGATATACATGATAAATATTTAGGCCTTCCTACGGTGGTAGGGAGGTCTAAGAGGGTTATTACGAAGGGAGTTAGAGAGAAATTGTGGAAGAGGTTACAAGGATGGAAGAGTGGAATGCTATCTAAGGCGGGTCGGGAGGTCCTGATTAAGGCTGTAGCCCAATCTATCCCAACCTACGCGATGAGTGTGTTCAAATTTCCTTCTTCTTTCTGTGATGAGTTGCGGTCTTTGGTGTCGAATTTCTGGTGGGGACAAAAGAAGGGTGAAAGAAAAATTCATTGGCTTGCATGGCGGAAATTGTGTGAGCCTAAGGCTTGTGGAGGGTTGGGATTTAGAGATTTTAAATGTTTTAATGCATCATTGTTGGGGAAGCAAGCATGGCGTCTGTTGAAGCATCCTAATAGTTTGATTGCAAGAGTTTTGAAAGCTCGTTATTATGAGGGTGGAGATTACTCGAGTTCGGATCTTGGCTCTAACCCAAGCTATACTTGGCGCGGGATATGGGGCGTTAAGTGGGTTGTGAAGAAGGGAGTTAGATGGCGTGTTGGAGATGGAATTGACATCCTTATATGGGATACTCCTTGGATCCCAAACACTCAAACCCGACAGATAATTTCCCCATGTGCTGATGGAAGGAGAAATATGCGGGTATGTGATATTATTAACCTCTCTTCGGCTTCTTAGAATGTTCCTCTCATTAAGGAACTTTTCTTACCCTTTGAATGTGACAGAATTCTGAGTATACCTTTGAGTTTTAGGCTGCCTAATGACTTTTTGTGTTGGGATTTAGAGAAGAATGGTGACTACTCTGTCCGTTCGGCTTATCGGGCTGCTTTTGGTCAAAGCTTGGATGACAATGTTGCGTCTTCATCAGGTCCTTCGTCTTTGTGGAATAAAATATGGAATGAAAATACTACCCCGAGAGTAAAAATATTTTTTTGGCGTGCTTGTAGGAGTGCGCTTCCTACTTTGAAAGAATTGGGAAAGCGCATTCAAAGCTGTGATAGGGTGTGTAGTTTGTGTAATGTTGAAGATGAGACGGAGTTACATTGTCTTCGGGATTGCATTATTGCGAGATTGATTTGGGATAAATGTGAATTGAATGTGGATATAGGTGCAAAATGTCAGAGCTTTGCGGATTGGGCATCAGTTTTGTTGGAAGGCTTACAAAGCTCTCTCCACGGGCTGCTCATGACGACCTGCTGGGCTGTTTGGACAGCTAGGAATCGTTGGATTTTTGAAGGGGAAGCCTGCAACCCGAGTCAATCAATGGAGTACGTCACGTACCTTTTGAAAGCTCTACAAAAAGAAGACAAAAATCTGGGTGGAGGGGGAGGGTCTGCTCGCCAAAAATGGAAGCCTCCAAGTGGAAATTTATGCAAGTTGAATGTGGATGGTGGAACTTCAGTTGATGGAGGTGCGTCTATTGGGGCCGTAGTACGGGATGCGAAGGGTAGTGTGCAGTTTGCTGCAGCGTGGAATGTGGAGGATCGATGGGATCCCGCAACTGTTGAAGCTAAAGCGGTGTTGATGGGGCTCCAAGCTGCAGTGGATTTCGGCCTTAGGCGCTTGATAGTGGAGAGTGATTGTCTAAGCTTGATCACCGCAATTAAATCACAGGAAAGGGGAAGTAGTAATCTTCACATTGTTTTAGATGATATTTATCATGTTAGTGGATTGTTTGTGTTTATTTCTTGGAGCTTCACTCGTAGGGAGGGGAATAAAGTCGCCCATGAGCTTGCTCATTGCTTGCCAAGGGATTCTAGTAGTCGTGTTTGGTTTTCGGATTTTCCAAGTTGTATTGTTCCTATTTTGGAGTATGACCTCCCTATAAATGAAAGCTAAGTGCCTTTGGGCCTCGTTTCAAAAAAAAAAATCGGTTTTTTTTTAGTTCATGCATGCGTTTTTGGGGTTTTTTTTATTTTCAGTTTTCTGGTTTTTTTGGTTTATTTTTTTTTGGGGATTTCTGGGTTCGTTAGTTTTATTAATTTCTGGGTTTGAACCGGTGCCTAATTAGTTTTTTCTGCTAGTGTTTGTAAGAACGCTTTTTAATTTTTAAAATTGTTTTTGATATTTTTATCTTTACAAAGTTGTTTCAAATTTTTTTTTTATCTTTTTTTCTATGATGTAAACGAATTGCGCATTAGAATCTCATCTAAATCTTTAAAATATTTTTATGTTCTATGTCTTTTTTAAAGAAATATTCTATGTTTACAGATTTGCTATTTTTTTTTATTATTTTCAATTTTCAATTTTTTCTATAATTTAGTTTCGCTTTTTCGAAAAAATAGATTAATATTGTAATCTTTACATGTTTTTCCTTAAAATAAATTTTTATGGTGTATCGTTATGGTTATATTTTGAATTAGGTCCAGACTTATTTTTTTTATTTAGATAATTTTTTAATTTACATTTTAAAATAGTTATTTGTATTAGTTTATGGTTTTAACAATGTTATCGTGTCAAAAAAAATTGTGATCATGTGTTTTTAAAATATCTAATCCAAATCCTTTATTTAAAAGTTAATAAATCGGTTTTTGATTTCACTTTATGTCTTTTCAATTTTCTATATTTTTTATTTTTTAATTCTAAGTTAACCGCCACAACCACCCCTAAACCCATCTTGTTTCGAGTGATTTTTGAAACTCCCTAGGGATACTGGTCACACTCTGATTTGGCAATGGGACGCGGACACCTGCAAAACACGAATCTCCGGTTGTCGGAAATTCGCCTCCGACGATCAAGTTAGCGACCGGAAACGGAATAAATATAGAAAGAGAAAGTAGATAGAAGTTGGAGATATTGGTGCTCTATTAAATGTTATGTCATTATTCACCCCTCCCATCAGCAATAATTGGGGTATTTATAAGGACGGGAATTTGTGCCCCTTAGGGTAAGTGACCTAGAATTTAGGGCCATTGATTGGCTGCGCAATAGGCGTAGGACATGTGTCCCCTAGGGCGCCGTTTTGCGGCTTTCTAGCTACTTTTGGGCCTCCTTATGTAAGGGGCCTTTATGACATAGTAGATTTCAGGTGCTCTCCTTGCTCATTTATACGTGTCATCTTCCTGTGATGACACGTGTCGCCCATTTATTGGGCCACGTGTCATCATTGGATTGGACCACGTATTTGGGGTATTTTTACCCTATACATTTGCCTCTCTGAGGGGGTGGCTCGTCCTAACTGGGCCGCCTCCTCTGACTTCCTCTCGCTTGAGTGCTATGGGTGAGTTTGGAGCATCTTAAATGTGTAACATGGAGTCGGACGAGAGCGTTTGCCCGCGATATTGGGCTGAAAGCCTGGTCTAAATGACCTGAGCTCTTTTACAAGCTTGGCTGATTTGTCCGTGCTGAGTGGCCCGAGCGGCCTTGAATTAGGCCACATGCATGGGTGGCCTTGTCTCGACGATTATAAGGAGCAGCGCCAAACAGTCGGTCGGTCATCAGCGGCCGACGAGACTTTTTTGACATTACTCTGAATTGCCCTTTCTAAGGAAACGGTTCAACTTCTGAGATTCATGCATAGAGTTACAAGTGTTTATGACGCTCGTTCGTATTCCGTCATAAATGGGAAGATTTTTACACAAATTATGTCAAACGGAAGGGTTAGCCGTTAGACTTCTAGGGTAAATTCTTTGAATTTTTACCCTCTGGCATTCTTTAGGCGGGAATCAATTTTTACCATTTTACCCCTCTAAAATTTTCCTATAAATAGCAAGGGTTTGACCTTCATTTTTTACTTTGGATTTGCTTGCTTTCTAGAGAGAAGTCAGAGCTTCTAGAGAGAGAAAGTTACTTCTTCTCGGATTCTTCGAGAGCTCCGCCGCACATTCGAGTTTTTCGTCCAAGTTCTTGTGTTTTCGGGCCTTTCTTCAACTAAGACCTCTCAAGCACTGCTTCAAGTCTTTCAACTTTCCACTCGGACGAAGGTAACCGAATACTCTCCTTTCCTT